ATTCAAAAAACAAACAAACACTGATAAGCAATTCATGTTCAAGATTTTACATCTGTGTTTAATTAACAAGACTTGTTTTTAGTTTCGTCAGCCAGTAATACTATTAAAGACTATGGGACGGGCGTGACCTAGTATTTACGTGCATGGATTGTTGCAAAAACGCGCTAGGCACTTTGAGGTTGTGGTTGTGGCACAAGAGAGATGGTTAAGTTTGCCAGATGAAATTATGGACGACAGTGTGAAGTTAGCCTTTGTAAACCTTTGCTCAAAGTTCTAAAACAAACCAATAAGCAAAAACAAAAAACCTGTAGAACTATGGACTCTACTATAAATTGTTAAACAACTACATTGTAAGTATATCATGAATGCCTTATAGCAGAAAACTAAATAGAATAACATAAAATATTAAATCATTGTATATAGCACTATAATTGTTTTAATAATCATTGGATATAAAAACAACAAAAAATGTAGGTTTTCTTACACATAACCCCCTAATGGCTCAGCGGAAAACCTGAAGGCTTATCATGCTAAAAATCGGGTTACAGTACCCGTAGTGGGCACAGCAGAGAGAGCCCATTGTATAGCTTTGCGTTTAACAACAAAATGGCTTATAGCAGAAAATTAAATAGAAGAACACAAAATCTTATATCATTGTATCATTCTCCGAGAAGAAAAAAAATAATTTGTATAGATTTACCAAACATTTACACATAGTTTTGAAAAATGTTGACAATAAAGATATATATACATAGTACCTCTTACGAGAGACTAGCTGAAGTATTCAATAACAGAGACCATACTAAGTACTACAGAACATAGAGTGATACTACAGAACACTTACATTAAATAATATAGACCACACTAAGTACTACAGAACATAGAGTGATACTATAGAACACTTACATTAAATAATATAGACCATACTAAGTACTACAGAACATAGAGTGATACTATAGAACACTTATATTAAATAATAGAGACCATACTAAGTACTACAGAACATAGAGTGATACTATAGAACACTTATATTAAATAACAGAGACCATACTAAGTACTACAGAACATAGAGTGATACTATAAAACACTTATATTAAATAACAGAGACCATACTAAGTACTACAGAACATAGAGTGATACTACAGAACACTTACATTAAATAATATAGACCATACTAAGTACTACAGCACATAGAGTGATACTATAGAACACTTATATTAAATAATAGAGACCATACTAAGTACTACAGAACATAGAGTGATACTATAGAACACTTACATTAAATAATAGAGACCATACTAAGTACTACAGAACGCACAGGGATACTATAGAACACTTATATTAAATAATAGATACCATACTAAGTTCTACAGAACATAGAGTGATACTACAGAACACTTACATTAAATAATATAGACCATACTAAGTACTACAGCACATAGAGTGATACTATAGAACACTTATATTAAATAATAAAGACCATACTAAGTACTACAGAACATAGAGTGATACTATAGAACACTTACATTAAATAATAGAGACCATACTAAGTACTACAGAACGCACAGGGATACTATAGAACACTTATATTAAATAATAGATACCATACTAAGTTCTACAGAACATAGAGTGATACTATAGAACACTTATATTAAATAACAGAGACCATACTAAGTACTACTGTTCTGTAGTACTTAGTATGGTCTCTGTTATTTAATATAAGTGTTCTTAGAGTGATACTACAGAACACTTACATTAAATAATATAGACCATACTAAGTACTACAGAACATAGAGTGATACTATAGAACACTTATATTAAATAATAGAGACCATACTAAGTACTACAGAACATAGAGTGATACTATAGAACACTTACATTAAATAATAGAGACCATACTAAGTACTACAGAACGCACAGTGATACTACAGAACACTTACATTAAATAATAGAGACCATACTAAGTACTACAGAACGCACAGTGATACTACAGAACGCTTACATTAAATAATATAGACCATACTAAGTACTACAGAACGTACAGTGATACTATAGAACACTTACATCAAATAATATAGACCATACTAAGTACTAAAGAACACACAGTGACACTATACAACACTCACACCCATTAAATAATAGAGATCACATTATGTACTACAAAACGTATAGTGATACTATACAACACTTACATTAAATAATAGAGGTTACACTAAGTACTACAGAACGTACAAGGATAGTATAAAACACTTACATTAAATAATAGAGGTTACACTAAGTAGTACAGAACGTACAGTGATAGTATAAAACACTTACATTAAATAATAGAGAACATATTAAGCACAACAGAACGCACAGTGACACTATACAACACTTACACCCGTTAAATAATAGAGATAACACTAAATATGCAGAACGTACAGTGATACTATAGAACACTTACACCCATTAAATAATAGAGAACATAATAAGTACTACAGAAAGTACACAATAAACACTATACTGCCTACAAACTAAATACTATAAAACACAATAAACACTATACTTACCATAAAATAAGTTCTATAAAACAAAATAAATACTATAATGGCTACAAACTAAATGCTATAAAACAAACTAAATACTATAATGGCTACAAACTAAATGCTATAAAACACAATATCACAATAATGTCTACAAAATAAATACTATAAAACACAATAAACACTACAATGTCTACAAAATAAATACTATAAACCACAATAAACACTAATTGGACAAAAACTAAATGCTATATATCACATAGAGAATACTACAGAACATATATATTATAGAACAGACACTAAACACTATGGATCTCTCTAAGTACATTTAAAATCACACGTAACGCTGTTAAACTTATATCAAATGCTTTGTTAAATAAATAAACTAAACATAAGTAGAACACGCAATAATTAATGACAACATTCAGTAAATATTCAGAACACACACTAAATATTTTGTCAAACCAATTACATTTCGCTGTTCAAATCCGCTTTCGTAGCTAAAATTACAAAAACATAACTAAACGTTTTAAACATTTAAGGTGGATTGTATTTAAGAAATATATTTAAGTAAGTTCTCAGATCTTCCTTCTTCCTGTTTATCTATCTATCTACTTCTTTCTGTATTTTTCGTTTTGGAAAACTTAATATTTTCTAAGTATTTTTTCTCAATACACTTGTTTTAAAGAGAGTTGCATATTCTGTAATATTTGTGTTGTTACTGTTTACTGTGCCCTGTTTACTGTTTCATGTTAGTTATTAGTAGTAACGGGGATGAATTGCCAATGTTTTTAATCTCAAGGTTTCTTTCCAGAGCACACCTTTGATTACGATTCACACTTAGTCATCTTTCGACATTTTTCACAGTAAACGTTTGCTTGGTAAACATGTTTGGAGAAACATGAGTTTTATTTATGATATTTAGGTTTCCAAATATGTGTTCATAGGTTCATTTTCGTCCAAGAAAATATACGAAACATGAAAATAATATTAATATTAGTTCATAAAATCCCCCTCTGAGAAAAGTAGAATGTATCACATATACTTATTTATAAAATTACAGAGATGTATAGTTAGTTACTCATAAAATATTAATGTTTCACAAAATTTTTATTGTATGGGATTTCTCACTGTCATGAATGCTTTATCAAGATATATTATGTGAAAATCGATATAATCGAGATCGTAGTATTTACCATTTAGTGTTCTCAAAATAGTTCAATGAAGTGTTAAAAAGCCACAACCACTGATGTTATCAATGTTGAGTACAAGTTTTAACTTCATTTAAGGTTTCTTATGAACTGTCTGTCAGGATTATTGGCTGTTATTAATTAACAATATAGGACTATATATATATATATATATATATATACACACACGACAACACATATATATATGTACACACACATATATATATATACACACACACATATATATATACACACACATATATATGTACACACACATATATATATATACACACACACATATATATATACACACACATATATATATATACACACACACATATATATATATATATACACACACACATATATATATATACACACATATATATATATTTACACACACATATATATATACACATATATATATATACACACATATATATATACACACACACATATATATACACACACACATATATATATACACACATATATATATACACACACAGATATATATATGTAACACACACATATATATATATATACACACACATATGTATATATATACACACAAATATATATATACACACACATATATATATACATGCACACACATGCGCACAAAAACACAAAAATATGCACACATATACACATAAATCTATATCGTGATATATATATATATTTGCAGTTAACATTGACTTTTGACTCACAATGTATGCTCAGAAACTGTACAGTTTTAGAGATACGCACAACCAAACGCTGTAGTGTTCATGAATCCGTATAAATATGTAAAGGTACTTGAATTAAACAAATGTTTCTTTCAGAATTCTAGTTAGATCTGTGTTAAAGCCTCTTTCATTTGAAAACAGTTTATAAACTGTACCTGGCAGCTTTTATCAGGAATATAATGTTTCATCTTGATTTTTTATCTAACTATAGGTGCCACAGAGTGTTAACAGATGAAACTTTGACACAAAAAAACAAAAACACTTTCTTTTCTGATGCTTCTCTAGAGAGTCTTGAGTAGATAAAATCATCTGTCTCTGCGCATGTTTATTGTTTATTATCACATTACGTAAGATACATATTTAATCGTCATTAATGCTAGTCATGGAAGCAAACCTAGACTTTTAGATCTCGCCCATACTTCGAATGACGTGAATTTGGACTGCTGAAAACCCGCCAATCAGAGTAGGTTAAAACGTCAGCACTCTGCACCTGCTTTAAAGGGGGTCAGCTATAAATTCGCGCAACACTAATGTTGAAGCTACTAGCAAAGAAAGTTTGATTGCAATTTTTTAGCAGAATTTTTTCTCTTACAATTTCCTTCTCGAAATGATGGCAGGAGTGCTTGGTCACATTCGAATCAAGAGTGATGTCATACGTCAGTGTTTGGCAGAATTCATTGGCACCTTACTTCTTGTGGTAAGTTAATTTGTTTTATATTCTCATTATATTATCTCCTTATATTATGTTTTAAAATTAACACATTTTTATCTAAACTGTTTGTTAACGTTTCGTTTTATTCAAGGTTTTTAATGGTACTAAAATTAATTACAATTATTATCTATTAATGTTCGACTTCTAGCACTAAATTGTTGAATATAGAATAAAACATAAGTGACATATGAATCAAACAGGTCATATTAATTGATGATCAAAGAAAGAGAAAAGTAAGTATTTTTTACGAAATTTTTATTTCTTGCGGCATGATTGATAAAACTGTATTTTAATCACCAGTTTATTTAATTAAGTTTAAAGTTCGACTGTGTAAATAAATAAGAACTAGTTTTGAAAGCAAATTTTAAACATTATTT